TCGCTTTTTAATAATTATTTATAGTTTTTTAAAGTATTATACTCAAAGACTTTTATTATTCTAGTTTAGATATATTTAATTTTTGCTCAATTAGAAATTATAAATTAAATAATTTCTAAATAAATTAAATAATTTCTGAAAATGGAAAGAGGAGAAAATACTATTAAAAAAAGTTCATTTTCTTATTTTAAAAATAGGTGAGTTACTTGAACTTGTTTTATATTTAAATACAATATTAGCTTCAATAGATAAATTTCAAATGGAAGCTAACATATAGAAAGGAGAGAGCCTCATGACACCAATTTCAGCCACTAGTTTCAATTAACGAATGACTAATTTCAATTATGAAATAATCTCAACCGAGGAAATCAATATTACTGCTCATAAATAGTTCAAATTAGCACTATCAGGAGCCTACTCAAACACCATTTGTGAATATCTCTCTATTTAAATCTCAAGTTCTGAACACTACACTATTCCAAATAAATATGCACATTCTTTTGTATACATCCAGTGCATCTCCATCACTAAAGATCTTAACGAAAACTTACCACTTTCCAAGATGATGTTACCTTCCTCATAATAACATATGTTGCATGATTCAAATGATTATTTGAAACTCAGCATAGAAAAAAAATCTTAACAAATAAAAATATCATCATTTTTAAGAAAAGTGAAGATGCCAATATAAACCTGGCCAATTGGGAAATATAAAATTTACACTTGACTAACGTCCGCGCATAAGAGAAAGCCTTTCTAGGTCAAAGCTACAACATCAAGGATCTGCATAGAAAAAAAATCTTAACAAATAAAAATATCATCATTTTTAAGAAAAGTGAAGATGCCAATATAAACCTGGCCAATTGGGAAATGTAAAATTTACACTTGACTAACGTCCGCGCATAAGAGAAAGCCTTTCTAGATCAAAGCTACAACATCAAGGATCTCTCTGTCCTTGCGCCCAAATTTCAGGCTTCAAATCTTGTCTTCTGAACCTGAAAACAACCAAGTTTATGCAGGATATTTGTGAAATCGGTACAACTACAATTGCTATATTAACAAAAAATCCCAAAAACACTTATATTTTCTAGATATCAGATAGAGAGAAACAAAATATGTAGAAATCAAGATGTGGACTGAAAATATGCAAAACAGTAATCTACATAAGGTTGAAATTCAAACGCCGACATCCATTCAAATGGGATAAGTAAGTAAAGGAGTAAAAAAATACATGTTTGAACGAAGGTAGGAGAACAAACTTTTTAAAAAAGGGAGAGGATGCATCCACTCAATAGAGATGGACAAAATGTTTGAAAGATGACCAATGAATTTTAAAGCCAAATATGAAAAACCTTTTCTGTTACATACCATTTGCTATATAATTGCTACGGGTCTTTTAAAATGTGGCCGTTGGGTTCTGGAGGAACGGTTGGTTATCAGTTGTAATGGCTTCTGGAATTCATTTTCAAGAGACATGACTTTTGGAATCCTACATTATTAATTTTTTTTTTAAAAAAAAAAGAATAGGTGGGAGAAATAAGAAAAAATGGAGAAAAAGATAATTTGAAATCCAGGCTTAGAAGAGTGCCACGTCACCGGGCTAATGCCCCTCAATTATATATATATATAGATTGAGATACCGATTCACTTTTGATTTATAACCAAATTGTCCTTCCCTTTACTCTTCATGCAACCCCTTATTTCACCCCCAACATTTCTTCCCCTTATGGAACCTATGGCTATTTTTTTTTTTTAGCTTTACGTTTCCCTTTATGGATTAAAGATCAAATAATTGTAAGCTTCAATTTCAGTTTTCCATGATCATCTACACTAAAGAAAAGTAGAAAACGCACGTCTATTTCTTATTTTATTTCTAGTACTTTTTGTTTTTACTTTTAATGGACATAATGACCTAACATGAATTTGAATGAATAAATACAGCGAGTGAAAATTCATATAACCTACCCCAACTTATGAATTGAGATTGAAACGCAATTGTTATTGTTTGCTCTCTACTTTATTAACAAAAGAAATATTCTCTTCTCATATTAGAAACTAGTATTTGTGTTGGAGTAAATTGCATATGTCACCCCCTAGGGCATGACTCTCCTCAAATACTGCGTGAACGCAAAATACTTTGTACATATGACTAAAGAAGCTTATAAGGGGAAAAGGAAATGAAAATGCGTAGAGTTGTTTTTAGGTTCCAACCAATGAAAATCAGACAAAACAAACAAGCCAGTGAAACACAAAATGAGACATGAAATGAAGTCTTCGCAAACAAATTTTCCATGTGAGTACAAAATTGTGCATTCTGTGAGCTCTTGAAATTTATAAGGAGAAAAGTCTAATACAAGCATATGAACATTTTATCCATGATAGATATCAGATTAGATGCCAGTATTCTTTTGGATAAAAGAAACATCATGTATAGCTTCAATTTAGATCTAAATCCAAGTTTGGACCAAAGAAAAACCCACAATTGATCTTACAGTACAATTCCTCTTAATTACCCCCAGACCTCAAAAGTTTGGACCACGTCTAGCAATATGACCTTGTACTCGTTGCTAGGGACTGTCCAAGCCAATATAACAACTGTTCAAATAATGGGAAGAAAAGATACGACGACTTAAATGACAAAAAATCTAAAACACAATATCCAAAATTTTTGCTTGGTTGTTGACACTCGACCTCCTTATCGAGTATAATAGTAGTAGGAACAAGACATCAATATATTGCGATAAAGATTTAACTCATATACACTGATAGTATAAAAAAAACTAAGCTAGCAATGTAATTTAATATGTCCAGCTGGTTGTCTGCCATCTGCTAATCTTTCATCATGCTTCCTAAGCATCACTTCCTCGGTGTCCAATTTTCCCCATAATTGTATTGCCTTAGTTTAAAGACAACAAAGCTTCAACATATAATAATTTCCAATGCATAAGAAATGAGATTGAACTACTTCATTCAACTATGTGCTACTAAGTATACCAAGGCACCATGTTTTGCATATCTTTAATTTAGGACAAAGTTTTGTTGGTATGGCCTACAAAATCAACAACAACAACAAACCTAGTGAGTGACTCTGAGAAGAGTAATGCACATGCAGACTTTATCCTTACATTGAGAGTAAAAAAAAGTTGTTTTCGATATATATAGATCATCGGCTAAAGACAAGATGAAAAGATGCGGTAACATCAAGTGATAGCAACAACAAAATATTAACAATGTTTGGCGTATAGAATACTCTTCAAATTTCAAACCAATAGTTACACTAGAAAATATAAGAAACGACATCTAAAAAGGAAACTCATTTCAGTGTTGGAAGAAAAAGAAGTGACAGGATGAACAAAAAAATACCCAGTACAGATAAAAAGAAATGATCAAAAATTAAAGAGCAAAAAAGCCGACACCTGAAAGGAACCAGTAATGTTCTTAGCTTGGCTGTCTCATTTGTCTGGATTCTGATGAAATGAATCCTTAATTCATATCTCACCTTCTTTTATTTCTTCCATTTCTTCTTTCCAATTTCCATTTTTGCTCTCACCATTTCCATGTTTATCTTTTTCACTATTCCCTTTGTTTCCTTCAGTTAGGTTGACAGTACCCAAATGATCATCAACAGTATCATTTCCTTGAGTTACAAAGTCAATATTATTATTTCCATCATCTAACTGTTCCCTCGTGATTTCTTTTGTTCTCTTGACCGTACGACATTTATGCATATTCTCCCACTTCTCTTTACATCTTCTGGCACTTCTCTCAAATCCCATTGAAGCCATTGAGTTACTTATCTCTTCCCAAAGTACCCCTTTTGGACCTGCAGCCTCTTGGAACTTAGATTCCAAGCTATTTCTAATCTGAATTAAAGCCTCAACTTCAGCTTGTGGCCATCTCTTGTTATTCAACTTTACCAAGCTATTACAGCTCTTATCTGGTTCTGATCCATGTTGAAAATTGATCTTTTGACCGGTGAGTTTTTCTAAGTAAGAAACAAGAGCAGCTTCTCTATTTGAAGCCAATGTTCTTTCTTGAGCTCTAACAGCTGCTTCTTTTTTAAGCTTTGCTAATTCTTGCTCCCTCCAAGTTTCTTCTCTCTCTTTTCGTTCTTGATCCAATCGCTCAATCGTTTCCATAAACCTCTTTTGAAGATCTTCTTGATGGTTCACGAGTTTCTTTACTAAGGATTCGAAAAATCTTGCCATTGTAATACTTGTTCCTTCTTTTGCTTTTCTCCTTCTCTTCCTTTTATTATGAACTTCGTCTTCCCTTGTTGCTTCTCCAACTGATGCACTGTCTGATCCAATATCAATTGCACCAGGAGTTGTTGTAGCAATGGCAGTGGGCCCACTGGTTTGATTAGAATCGTTGCAAGTTGCCACAGGAAAAGAGACATTATTGTTATTATTAATTGGTAAATCTTCAGCAGTGAGAACAGATTCAGATGCCATTCGATGAATATTAGTAGTAGCAGTAGTATTAGTCTCAGCATTTGTAGCATAAATGGCTTCTAACTCTCCAAATACAACTCTACATTTATTTTCTTCTAAGCTCTTAATAATTTGCTGCTGATGGATTTCGTCAGGATACATTTCTTGATCCTCTTCTTGTTTATTCTTTTCACTTTCATTGCTGTTGTTGTTATTCCCATTTGAAAATTCCGCACAAAGGGGCTTCCTATACAACCCAAAAAACGAGGAAAAAAAAAGAAAGAAATACATTAATAGTGGACCAAACTCTAAGTATAAATAATTCAAATAAAGAGAGTAGTAGGGTCATTTATAGGGGTGTACGGTAAAAGAGTAATTATAATAAATTTTACATGTGATTGAGTGCACATAAAATTACCAGAAAGGTTGTTTAATAGCAGAATCTTCTTGGTTTTGCCAACAATGAGACACAGCTAGAGAAGTTTGTCGAGCCTCGTTGCAGTATCCCTCACTCCCACGAATCAAAGCATCTTCTTCTCTTTCTCCTTTACTACTACTATCTTCCTTGAAACTTAAAGGAAAAAATGGGACTGAAACACCTTGAACTTGATGATTTTCGCCTTCTGCGTTGAGCTCTAGCCTTATATCTTGATGTTGTTGTTGTTCTAAAATGGATCTGTAATGGAGATGTTGGTATTGGAAAAACTGTTGAGTAAAAGGTTGAAGAAGAGGATTTGGTTGTTGAGGAGGGTAGTGATGACTATAGTTTATTGGAAAAAATGGTGAAGAAGTTGAAGCATTTTCCATTATAAATCTATGCTGTTGCTGCTGCTGTTGTTGCTCCACTTGTGGCTGTTGGTTTCTATTTCTGTGTTGATGGATCCCAGCCATTTCATAATCTGATTGCATAGCCCCCCTTTTCTTCAGATTTGTTCTTTTTTGCTGAACCAAAACAGATCCTACTAGAGAGAGAAAAAACACACACACACACACAACTTCTGTACTATGCTCTAAGATTTATGATGTGTAGAAACAAACACAAACGCATCACTTCTGTTCAAGTTTATAGGTTTTTTTTTAGTGTTTTTGAGTGTACGAAGTGATTAACAAGAAACCCTAATAAGAAGGTGAAGGATAGAGGAGTTTGAGAGATGGAGGAAACTTTGATAGGGAAAAACTGTGAGAGAGAGAGAGAGAAATGTAGATACTAGATAGATATGCTGCTTCTACTTCCCAAGCAGGAACTGCGGCTAAAGAAGTGTTATGGGCCGGGTTACTGGGTTTTATCCATGACCCGTTTAATTAGAGTGTACCTCTATTATTTCTTTTTTGGTATTTGAAGTTGTACTATTTTGTTAATATAGTGTTTTTTGCAGAGTAATTTATTTATGGCAATGCTGAATTCAGCCTCGTTATATGATTCCCAAAATCCAAAGTCTCAGCTATTTCTACGCTCTATATTTCTTACCTTTAATCATATGGTAATGATTTAAATTCAATAGAATGGCTCAACAAGATTGTCACGTTTTTCTAAAAGAAGAATTATTTTTACCAAAGTGTAGTGTTAATTAATGATAAATCATAAATTTCCTTTTCTTTTCCTTTTTTGAAATAGGGATTGATCGGAGCAAAATAATTTGTCGCTTTACGTTTTGAGAAAGTAGAAGCTGTTTTTAACCAATAATAAATAATGTTGATGCCAAATTCACATTCTCTTTTCTTTTGATTATTAGGGATCAGCTTGATGACTTGACTTAGTTGAGAGACTGAAGAAGAATAACTAGAAATGAAAGGGATAGATTTGTTATTAAAAGAAATCTTAGAATTAATATATGAGGCCCCTCACTGTTAGATTTATTTTTACTTGTATATTAGTGTTTTCTATTTTGCTGCAGTAAAATATGTTGATTTTCCCCTTAGCCTCTACCAGTTTACCACTTAACCTAAACAAATGGTTACATAAGGCAGTTAGTCAAGATTGTATATTTCTAAGTACAATAGAACACAATTTTTTGACGTATCATTTGCTTTCCAAGATTACACCAATTATTCTTCATACAAATCATGGATTTTACATTAATTTTTTTAATGATTTCATCTTGCGTAAATCACATAATTAACTCCATTATAATGTTTTTCTAATTTCAATAGTAGAAAACTTAATTAGACAGAAGTAGCATCACTTGAGATCTGAAGATGTATTTTGCAATTTGAATGATAATTCCTTAACCGTTAAGCTGTTCGCTTGTGACACCCGAAAGGATTATCGAGGGATGAATAGAATTTCTTTATTCTTATTAAAGGTTTTGCATTCAAGCTTTGTGAATAGCAAAAATCTTAATAGAAAATAACAAATCTTAATAGTCACTTTTCTTTTGTGAATTTAAGTAATGAAGGAACATAGTAAAAATATATAGTGGGTTCAAGTAAAGAGGAGATGCCATTCCAAAGCAAAGATTGGGATTTTAATAAAAACAAGGGAACGATAACTGGTGGGTGCAGAAGATCTGAGGTGCACTCCCATTGGAGAAAACAGAAGAGTACAAGGGGACACGTGTGGGAGAAGGCTGCTGGCACAGAGAGACAGAGATAGATGTATGTGTAATTGCACTGTGCTGACTTTAGCAAGTGAGGGTGTGGGGGTCGGGGTCGGGGTCGGGGTCGGGTGTGTGTAGGGACATTCTGATATTAGGATTTTGGAAGGATACAATTGAAGAAGTGNGACCATATGAAACTATGTATCATGCATCAATATCATTATTTTGAATTCTGCTTCTTTCAAAGGGATCAATAAATAACTTGTTATTGCAGATAGAATAAAGTTTCAAATTCAACTCCCTCCATCCTGAATATTTATCATTTTGACAAAAAAATAAATATAAAAGAATAACTCGGTTGGATTTTTGAGCTTGATTTAGCTTTAAAAAGGATAAATGGGAAATTGAGAGAAAATGAAATATTTGAATTTCCCTCCTTGATAAAGGGACATCCAATATTGGAGGAAGAAAAGGCTTTTAATGGGTATATATATATATTTGCTCTTCTCCTAGCTCATAAAGTGTTAAGAAGAAGGCAAGCCTCGCGCCGACGCCGTCGTCGCGGATTCAGATTCAGATTTGGTCAAAGATTGATTGATTAATCTTTTTGGACAAAATTTCTTTAATTATCTTATAAATTATTAATTAAATTATCCAAATATCGATCCTGAACCGGATCCGTGCGCGACCCAATTTATTTTCTTTCCCGAATTTTATTTAAATTTCACTCCCATTTTAAGTGATGTTCTGAAGAGTTGTAAGCTTTCAGAAATAATACTTCCATTGGCTATAAATTCGTTTGATTCCTCAGATTTTCCTTACGAATTTTCTGATCTTCAATTCTTCTTCTGCACAAATCTATTCCAGTGTGATTTACTGCCATTGAGTGGTTCGTTGACACCGTGGTTTTGGGTACCAATACACTGGTATCCTGGAAGGATAATATTCCAACATCTCGGGTGCTTGAGGGGAATAATTTTCTTAAGGACATATTGTGCATTCAGTGGGCTCGATTTATTCCGAAATTATTTTCAGATATTATTTCGACACTCTGTTGCTACTAACTTTCTATTTCTGTTTCTATTTCAGAAAGTTTACTGTGTTTATTATTTATTACAAGTAATACAGATTGATTAAATCTTAAGGAAATTATTTTATTCGTAATCTGTATTCTATTTTTGGAGATTAAAATCTGTGTGGTTTTCTACTCCTTCTGAATTTTTCTATTATGATTTGAAGATATAAACACTTCATCGGAGCATTAAAATTCAGAAACGATTGGAATAACGTAAAAAACTCATCAATTTTTATGAAATAATATATAAAAACTTCGACTTTATTTATTAAACGTACTGTTTATCATTTACTACGATGTTGTTTACTGTTCTATTTTTTGCCATTAATTGGACTCTTCTGTTGTTAACAGTGAGAAATGGCAATTGATAATGGAAATCATTCTGCGACAATTGCGGCAACGACGACAGTCTCGTCAAGCAAACTGTTGTTCCACCGGCAGAGAAACCGGGGAAATTTTCTGGAGCCAACTTCAAAGGATGACAGCAAAGAGTGTTCTTCTGGCTTACAACACTTGGTATGTACAAATTCACCAGTGAAGAACCTCTCGTGCCTGCCGCTGCCATGCCAGACAACGAGAAATTTATGATTGTTGAGGCGTGAAAACAAGCAGATTTTCTTTTCAAAGGCTATATCCTAAGTGCTTTGGAGGATGACCTGTATAATGTCTATAGTGCTATGAATATTTCGAAAAGAATTTTGGGATGCACTTGAGAAGAAATATAAGACTGAAGATGCATGCTTGAAGAAGTTTGTGGTTGTCAAGTTTCTAAACTATAAAATGATAGACAACAAAACTGTTGGAATCCAAGTTAAGGAGCTTCAATTTATTTTTCACGACCTTATTGCTGAAGGTATGGTCGTGAATGAAGAATTCAAGTGGCTTCAATGATTTAAAAATTGCCTCATTCGTGGAGAGATTTCCAAAACTATTTTAAGGACAAGTGCAAGGAATAAAGTTGGAAGATCTTGTGATTCGTCTCAAGATTGAGGAAGACAACAAAATAGCCGAGATTAAGTCTCGTGGAAATTCAACGATTATGGGAGCTAATATCGCTGATGAGACTGCTCCAAAAAGTAAGAAGAAGAAGAGGTCTTCTGGACAGACTAAGGAGCATAACAAAAAGAAATTCAAGGGAAATTGTTACGATTGTGGAAAACTGGTTGCACAGCCCCTAATTGTCGTCTATCAAAAATGGATAAGAAAAAGGGACAAACCAACGTAGTAGAGAAGAATGATGACATTGATGATCTGTGTGCAATGCTTTCGAAATACTACCTAGTTGGAAATCCGAAGGAATGGTGGATTGACGTTGGAGCTAATCGACATGTTTGTGCTGTCAAAGAAGCATTTGCGACTTACTCTACTGCTGGTCCTAAAGAAGAGCTTTCCATGGGAAATACTGCAACAACCAAGATTGAAGGTTATGGGAAGATATTCCTGAAAATGACTTCCGGCAAGGTGTTAACGCTCAACAACGTTCTTCATGTTCTTACCATTAGGAAGAATTTGGTTTCTACTTCTTTACTTGTTAAGAATGAATTCAAATATGTATTTGTATCTAACAAAGTTATTGTAAGCAAGAATGAAATGTATGTTGGAAAGGGCTACCTCATAGAGGGCCTTTTCAAACTCAATTTAATGGTTGTTGACAATATGAATAAAATTTCAGCTTCTTCTTATTTATTGGCACCTTGATAGGAAGCTGTGGAGGTCGAGTATTAGGGTTGTAGGTTAGGAGGTCGTTGAGTCTTTCCTTACTTCGTACCCTTGTGAGGCTAGTCTGGTAGGGTTTTTGTCGAAGTCAGTTAGTGGCAATGTTCCATAGTGTCGGGTCTATGTAATGTCTATTGCTTTTGATTTGCATCTACTTTCTCATTTTCTTGATGTTATTTTCTTATGATTTCTATTGGTGGTACTGATATTATCTCTTTTCGTCTTCTTAAGCCGAGGGTCTTTCAGAAACAGCCTCTCTACTTCCTTAGGGTAGGGGTAAGGTTTGCGTAAACACTACCCTCCCCAGACCCCACTATTAAGATTTTACTGGGTCTTTGTTGTTGTTGTTGTTCTTCTTCTTCTTATTTATTGGAGCCAAATGATTTATGGCATATTCATTTAGGACATTTCAATTACAAAACCTTGTGGAAGTTAATTAATTTAGAAGTATTGCCTAAATTTGAGTGTAATAAATTAAAATGTCAAATATGTGTTGAATCTACATTTGTAAAACATCCTTATAAGTCTATTGAAAGGAATTCAAATCCTTTAGACTTAATTCATACTGACATTTGCGATATGAAATTGGCACCATCTCGAGGTGGGAAAAAGTATTTTATAACTTTTATTGACGATTGCAGTCGATATTGTTATGTTTATTTGCTTAATAGTAAGGATGAAGTAATTGAAGCATTTAAGCAATACAAGAATGGAGTGGAGAATCAATTAAATAAAAACATCAAAATGATTAAAAGTGATTGGGGTGGAGAATATGAATCTCCATTTGCAGAAATATATTTGTGATAGAATTTAAGGGTCCACCAAACTATATAAAGAACTAGGTTCTTTATCAGTTCTCACAGTAAGCAACAGACTATAAAACCAAACAGTATAGGGAACAAGGTTCTCTATTTGTTTTCGCAGTAAATCGGCAGTAAATAAAGAACACAATGGAGTTTTACGTGGAAAACTCCCAGCTCACGGGATTAAAAACCACGACCTACCCTTGCAGGATTTCAACTTCACTACTAAGCAA